TGTATAAATGAGATAACGATCTCAACCTAAGCCAGGGACAATCACTTACCTATTTCATCGTATCGTGCTTTTCTACCCGAATCTACTTCGCGAAGCTGTTTCAGAAGAGCAATACATTCTCGTCTCAAAGTAGAGGTATTGGCGGAAAGACTATGATTGCGTAACAAGAGCGACTTGTAGTGTACCAACGACTCCATACACCCTGCATTAAACATTAGTAAATATTAACAGTCCACAAGCAATGAGATGCATACATTTACTATCAGGTTCTTCATCCAGAAGACTCTGTATGATTGTTATTTCACGTTCAAGGATTTCTTTATCGTCACCTTGAATGTCTCGTGAGTTTTGGATAGATAATGGAAGAAAGCAGGCGGACCTGAACCAACGAGCCAGCGGATGATAGATCCAGACGCTTTGATCTTTCGGATCGGTGTACATCGCGTCGTGGACGAGATCAAATTCTTCAAAATGTTGTTAGAGAGTATATTCACCAGGAAGGATATGTTACGCACCATCTTCTCTGGAATTTTTCGGATCCAGTTCTCCTTTGGACCACAGTGACAAGAGTACTTTTGAACGTTGGTGCCAAGCACTGAAATTCGAAAAGTTAGCCTCAATCTTCCGAGTGGTGTAAGCCAATTCTGAGGTTTCTGGTCGAGGGATGGGCATGCTAGCAAGCACTACTCTTCTGTAGCTCCAAGCAAGGACTATAATTGTCAGTAAAAGATAAAATACCGTGAAAAATGCCTTACAGTTTCTCGAGTCTGCGTCCAGCATCTTCTCAACCACAAACAACTCTCTTGTTCCACAGATCCTTCTCCCATCCGCGAGGATCCCCTTCATCTTCAGTACCAGGCCCACTAGGAACGTTATTGAGACACCATCCGCGATGATTCCAGATCCAGTAGACTTTGGGGTGAACCTTTAGCGCGGCCATGGTCAGTGACAAGTCATCGGTGAGTAGATCCTTAATTTCTTCAGGAGTACTATAAGATTGTTTATGAGCAGGCCATGTACGGCAAAGTGATATTTACCTAGTGGGAAATATACCGTTAAGTAGGATGTGCCGCCGGTAATTCCATATCGTGTAGAACTCGGGATTCACTTGTAGAAGCTGAGTGGTAGCTTGCAACGCTTCTGGAGACCAATCCTTCTGTTTCTTCTAGCAGATAATTATGTCCAATAGATTGACAGTAATGAAGCTGTAAAGTTGGACGCACTCTGTTGAGAACATCCTCGGTTAAAGCAAGATAGTCAGCGGATCTTTGACTGTTCCTTCAGTTTCTTAGCTTCGAGAGCATCCTTTGGTTTGCGTGACCCGCTTGACGTGATGCTACAGAAGACTTAGAAACAGGAGAAGGATCAATGTACCAACTCATACCATGGATGATGAGAAGAAGAAACAAGCGCCCAAACTTGCCTCCGTCCCTCATCCAAAATGCCTTCGGTTGCCTCCAAAATGTCCTCAGTGGAGGAACTACAGACTTTATTTCCGCTTACTCTGCCTGTCCCAACTCCCGACTCTGTCCCAGACCTTATTACGCCCAAAGACCTGTACCGCGAAGAAAACTTGCTCAGAAATCCTCAGTCTTTTCAGGCTTGGTGGTCAACAATACACACTGCAAGAGAGGCGTTTGTCGCCGAAAACAAACTTGAGCGGTCTGATCTCTCAGAATCAGTTGCAGCACTTTTAGGACCTCTGGCTACACCTTTTTCCCGCATTTCGCTGCAGCGACTGACCTACCTCTACGAATCAGCACTCGTGCACTTTCCAAACTCTTTCAAACTATGGAAATCTTATTTGACGATGCGCATGTCCTTTGTTTTGGGCAAGCAAATTGTGAAGAAAAGAGCTGGCGGCAGAAAGAAGTTTCCTGAAATGAAGGACGCGTTGGTCGAAGAACGAGAGGACTTGGAGCAATGGGAAGGTGGTCTCAACGGAATAATTGGTTGGGAGGAATGGAAATCGCTAATCGCGACCTTTGAACGTGCTTTAATGTGGTTACCCAATGTAAGTCCTTGTGCTGGCAATATTTTCTCTGTGTACTGACTCGTGCTTGCAGCTTCCCCGGCTGTGGCTCATGTACCTTTCAATCTTCTTTCACCCAATGTGCCCACCTCTCATCTCCTACACTCATGCCCGACACACATTTGATCGAGTGCTACGAACTCTACCTCCCTCTCTTCATTCGCGTATATGGGTGCGATATCTTCTGTGGGCAGAGTCTAGAGGTGGCTCTACTCTTGTCGCAGTGTACCGGCGCTATATCACGGTTGACCCTAGCGTCACAGAAAACTTTACACATCTCCTGCTACATCCTATTGATGGAAAAGCACGTCCGCTCGAAGCTGCCAAACTCCTTCTCTCCTTGGCCCGAAAGGCTGCCAAAGGAGAATATCACAGTCCCGAGGGGAAAAGCCCATACCAATTATTAGGCGATTGGATCGAAGTGGTTGAAAAGTTTTCGGACGACGTTGGGCTCGATATCGAAGACACTCTGAAATCCAATGCAGCAGATGAAGCCGATGCTGCTAAAGAGGCTGAAAAATGAGGCTGGAACGGAACCCGCCTCGGTCGATGGAAAGCTCATGCGAATAGCAGGTCCTGCTGTTACAGTCGATGCCGCAGGTAAACCTCTGCCATCTTACGACGAAGATGAGGATTATAATAGTCCTCGGAAACTCAATATCGAGAGGATTATCGCAAAGGATGGGTTTGCTGTGTATAAGGATCAGGCTGGGCGTCTTTGGACCGGACTCGCGACATATTGGGTCAAACGGGGAGAGTTTGAGCGTGCCAAGGAGACCTTTGAGAAAGGCCTCGCGACAGTACTGACGATTCGGGACTTTACGCAAATCTTCGACTTCCTACGCGGAATTTGAGGAGTCGTTGATCAGTGCAATGATGGAGGCTCTCGCTGACGAAGAAGACGAAGAGGAGGCTGCTGAAACAGAAAAGGAATTAGATGTGAAAATGAAGGAGTTTGAGGAGTTGATGGACCGGAGGCCCTTCTTGATCAACAGCGTGTTGATTCGACGAAATCCCAACGACGTACAGGAATGGGAAAAACTTGTAGCTCTTTGGGGAGAAGATGATGAGAAGGTGAGGTCTCCTTGCGCTTTCTCCGCTGACTTGTTGCTCATGAAACTCACAGGTGGCTGAGACCTATACAAAGGCACTAGAAACAATCAATCCTCGTAAAGCCACCGCCAATCTTCACCGATTATACGTCAACTTTGCCAAATTCTACGAAGAGGGCGGCACCACTGGACAGGCAGAGCCGGATCTTGATAGCGCACGCAAGATTCTTGAAAAGGGTACAAAAGTCAACTTCAAAGCTGTGGAAGATTTGGCGGAGGTCTGGTGTGAATGGGCAGAGTTGGAGGTTCGCCATGAGTAAGTCTACCTGACTTGCATTCAACGTGTTCTAACCTTCCTTGTAGTAATTACGATGAAGCGATCCGGGTTATGCAGCGTGCTGCCGCTATCCCCAAGAACACGAAGATTAATTATCACGACCACGTATGTTATGTTCTACATTGCTATTTAACCGTACTAACCCCTCGTTTAGACTTTGTCAGCACAAACGCGGTTGTTCAAATCCCTCAAACTGTGGTCGTTTTATGTCGACTTGGAAGAATCTATTGGCACAGTAGAGACGACTAAAACGGTTTACGACAAGATTCTGGACCTTCGGATTGCTAATGCCCAGATCATCGTCAACTATGCTGCATTCTTAGAAGAAAATAAATACTTCGAGGAGAGCTTCAAAGTGCGTTTAACAGTTGCTAATGTGAATTCAATCTCTCATCAGTTTCTATATAGGTGTACGACCGGGGTGTTGAGCTCTTCACTTTTCCTATTTCTTTTGAACTTTGGAATATCTACCTTGCAAAATTTGTAAAGCGATATGTGAGTGCTGTATATCTTGTGCTATATCCTTTTCTCAATCATTGCAGGGCGGATCCAAACTCGAACGCGCGCGCGATCTATTCGAACAAGCACTTGAGAAAGTGTCCTCCAAAGTCGTGTAAACCTATATTCCTGATGTACGCAAAGCTGGAGGAGGAATATGGGTTGGCAAAACGCGCTATGTCAATATATGACCGTGCAACGCAGGTTATAGCTGACGAAGATCGCTTCGAGGTATGCACCTCATCGTTATCATTTTCCGTGTTGCTCATCAATAAAATCCGTAGATGTTCACAATATATATCGCTAAAGCTACAGAAAATTACGGTTTGCCTGCAACACGGTCCATATACGAACGAGCGCTTGAAGGTTCGTTAACAAATAGCTTGAACATACTTGAAGCTGACTATGCTCTGCAGTCCTTCCAGACCGTCAAACCGCGGAGATGTGTCTCCGCTTCGCTGCTCTCGAGCGCAAGCTTGGTGAAATTGACCGAGCACGGGCTATCTACGCCCATGCCTCACAGTTTTGCGATCCACGAGTCAATCCTCAATTCTGGTCCGAGTGGAACGCATTCGAGTACGAGACGGGATCGGAAGACACATTCAGGGAGATGTTGCGTATCAAGCGTAGTGTGCAGGCGCAGTTCAACACAGAAGCCAGTTATATTGCTGCACAGACTATGGCTGCTCGACAAGGAACCCGCCAGGCCGACGCTGTGGAGAATGCGTCGGATGCAATGGCAGCTGCGGAGCGGGAGGCGGGCAATGCACCAGCATTCGTCGCCGCTACGCAGACAGCGTTGCACCAAAAAGCCACAGATGCTGATGCTCCTGCTACAACTGCTAATGCGGATGAAATCCATATATCTGATGATGAAGATTTATAAACTTACTTATATTTGTGCTGTTGTATTATTACTACTTTCAAAAAGGATGACGAAACATTTGTCAGAGAGAAAAGATGGAATGTGCGATGCTTACCTGATGACAAGTACATGTGGCGATCGTTTCCTTTGGATATCTGCTATCGTTGTTCCTAAACATTACATTACGTATTAGTGATGGATCTTCCAAAAGAGATATCCAATGTGGTGTAGTGGCTAACATTGCTGTCTTTCATATCTTTCAAATCGATGATCTGGCATTGTGCACAGCAGCCCGGGGTTCGATTCCCCGCATTGGAATATGCTAGTCTGATATAATCGGATGACGATTCTGTGTCTTTTTGAATTTTTGTTCGGTTTTCGAGTTTTCGATGCCCGCATCTATTCAGGCTAGCTGAAACAGCTGAACAACAGGCTGACACAGATTCAGGCAATTTTACTGCGCTAGACGATTGGAGCTTTGATTGCGGACGATGCAGGGTTGATGCAGCTGTCTCAGGCGCATATACATACTCAACTGCCAATACTCTTCCACAATGATTCACTGGCGGAATGATTCAGTTTTATGATTTCTATATCGACGAATGGGCAACACTAGGGTTGTCAGATAATCAAAGTACTAGTATATTCTACCAACTTGATTGTCTCTCTGTAACCTTCTTCATAGCCGTCCTTGCCGACGCATCATCTGAACTTGGGATCCCCATCGTACTGGTATTGCAAGGAGGAAGGCCATTCGCTATTCCTGATTATTATGCACGCTGTGCAGCCTGTTTAGAAACAGTATTACGATCTGTTCATTCGAATGCGTTGTCCAACTAATATTTGTGTAGTTCTTCCCGGTCAATCAGGAGGACAAGCCATATCTGATGTCTTATTTGGCGAAATGAGCCCAGGAGGAAGAATGCCGCTCAGTGTCCCATTTAATGCTGCGTCGCTGCCCGATTTTTACAAGTACGATGCGTATCCCCGTAATCGTTGAACGCGCTGATGTATGACGATCGAGCAGTTACCACACCACAGCACACGACCTGAACTATACCGACATCTATTCGTTCCCTACAGTATGTATTCTGGTTGGCTGTTTTATCTTGTAAGTCACTGAAGATAGTCGTCAGTACTGGTTTGGTTATGGCTTGTCCTTCACCAGCTTTTCCATCTCTGCATTCAATGCGACTTCTTCAGGTGGCGTCAAAACCTTTACAGCCGGCGAGACCATTAACATTCCATGCACTCACCAACGAGGGTAGTGCTGCTGGTAGTTATGTGGCTCAGGTATGTTCTTCGATTTTTTCATCGCAGCCCCGACAAACCACTCTTAAACGTTTATCTCCTCCAACGAGTGTCGAACATTGTACGCGCCCAAAGGCAGCTCGTCGCATTCTCCCGCGTGTATCTCGATGCTGGTGAAAGCAGAGATGTTCTAACGAACCTAGAAGTGGACCGATATCTTCCGATTGTGAATCGACCAATATGTTTGGGAGCTGGAAACCGGGTAAGAGGTATTTCTTTGTTCGAAAGGGAGCGTGAAATTTAAGACAGTTTACAGAGAATACACGTTTGCACTCTTGGATTATGGAGGTCCAACAGCTAGCACGGCAATGAATGTAACATTGATATGTTTGTCGAAGTAGCATAAACAGGAATGCAGCGAAAGAGTAAGTACAACTGGTTTAATCAATAATGCATAAAGTCTGTCGTACTCATTAGAGGAGGAAGCTCAATAGTATACAATAAACTCACCTGCTATAAGATGGGTTTTAATTTCTAGCAAGATTGGCGACAATGTATTCAAGCATAGTTTGATTTACAGCACGCAAAAGGGTCAAAAGAATTATCATCTAGTAAAATGGTCAGAATGGTAGAAACAGGAAGACTTAAGATTAGAGACGTACACATAACACGTATCGGTCGAATTTAGTGAATGGTCTGACGCGAGGCGCCATTACTGGATCAGCTTCTGCTTGCTACATCGATGAAGCCAATTAGTGATTTTATCGAGGATTGAAATTAGATCGCACGTACAGCTGGAGCCTGCCTCAAGTTGTTCAACCTCAAGTCATTTGCTGCTACTGCTCGGCGGTGGCGTAGCGCAGAATGGTAAGGGCTTCTAGGGAGCTATCAGGCCAGTAGACAAAAGAGAGGATGTGACGCGCACCTGGGCATGTTTTGGGTAAAAGAAAGAGGATTGAATGCGGGCGAGGGTGTTTGAGGTCAAGATGAGTGAGGGATCGCATTTTAAATATTGCTCAAATGAACTCCGCAAGTGAAAAACGGTATCCAAAAAAATTGGATTTGGGCGAGACCTGAAAAGGTTGTGACCCAAAAGAGCGGCTTCGTGCTTCTTGATCTCAGTCTCCCAGCAAATATAAATGCCTTACGAAAGGACGAATGCGTATTAGCCTCTGTCAATCGCGTTTCACGAGGCAGGGACGTACCTCTTAGTTTTCGATACTCGAACTTCGTTCCACTAATGTATCACTCCTTAATAGTCCTACATCTCGGTTCACGGCCGCGTCTCAACCAGCTCACTACGTCGTATCTCTGCCTTTCTCGGTTCTTCTCAGAAGCGTTTATCCACCTAACCACCAAATTCAGCTCGGGTTTCCTATCATTCAGGGAGGGGATGCCCATCAGCTTCCTCCATACTTAACAACTTCATAAGCATGGAAATCCGGAAGGACCCAGGAAACGCCGAAACGAAAAATTGGTGCCCTCACGGCCAACTGCGGCTCCAGTCGGCGGAGAAAATGAGGGCACTCCAGAGATCGGTCCCCAGGGTCAAGACAGCCTTTCTGAGCTCCTTCAGCACCCACGAATAATCCAGCAATGCCACGAATGATCCAACAATGGAATCGAGTAAGAATGAGTCAGGTTGCACGTGATGATGATGGCGCCATCAGCGCGAGATGCGGTTCCGCAAAGCAACCTTTCTTTCCTCGAAACCACATCGACGGAGCAGAAATAAAGCCATGAGGTGTGTTAAACGACCGTGTCCGATGTCCAGAGTGCGACCGGGTGACCCAAGACCAGCAAAGACCTCAACATCAAGCTTCCGACCATTGACCGACCAAGTTCTTCAAGATTCCCAACACCCCTGTGTGGAAGGTACTGTGAAAGCAAGCTACCGATGCGGTATGTGTGATGGATGCAAGTACTAGCACCTGGGCGCACACTATGGCGCTCGAGCGAGCCATGTTTTTGAACTCGAGCCAAATGAAGAATCGACAGCTGGAACTGGGCAGCTGAACACTGAAACAAGTACAACGGACGAACTTTTGTAGGTGTAACAGGGTAGTCAGTCTCCATTGCTAGAGGTGGTGGAATCGGATCCGACATCCGTGTTCGAGCTGAATTGAATTCCGCAGATGCCGATGCTGAGGTGAAAGCTCCATCGAGCAGTCTCAGCAGAGGTTGATTCTGTGCTAACAAAGCTAACAGGGTCGGGAGCCGGTCCTGGAGTTGGAAATTTCTGCGGAGGATGATGCAAAATACCATTGTCGGGCAATGCGGATTAAAAGACGACGACAAAGTCATCTCCAAACTCCGAGCTGCACAAGACAATTTACAGCGTGATGGAGAATCCTGCAGAGCCAGGATGCTGAAGCGGGCAGTGGCAATCGCGTTCAACAACCTCTATCGACAGATGAGCAAGAAGAAATATCGTTGGTCAACAAGTCGTCAAAAAAGATCATCAACAGAATAATGCGTGAGCGGTTGGATTGCATATTTTTCTGTCAAGGACAAGGAGGTCGTTGTGGGTGGAAAAGAAGGATGCAAATTTTGAGCGTCTGAGTTCAACGACTCACGGGTACTGTATTTGATTTTTCTGCGATAACTTTCTTCCTCTCTCGCTCTACTTTCAAACATTATTCATTTTACGGTGTCTTCCAAGGTGTATTTATTTTCTGCAGTATTTTTTTCTTCAAAGTGATTTGAAACGATTGGTTTTACCAACAGAATGCACCATTTCCTGTCTCAAATTGAGGGGTCCTAGAACAACAAGTTATTGGTGATTTCACTGGTACTACCTACAATGAGCTCATATACGCCGGATCCTGGACAGCCAAGTTGAAATCTATCAAGTCAAAGAACCCCGCCACAATACCTCAAGTTTGGATTGGACCGCTCTCAGACTATCCTCGATCATCTCCACTAGCTCTTATGCATAAGCTGGAAGTTCCTTCATCAACGCTTTCACCATACAACGTATGCGGGGTGTATGATCCAAGGTTGGATCAGACAATTCAAAGACCTCCTCCCCGTATGTACCAAACTTTTCTAAGTATATACATAACGATACATGCTCGGTATTCATATATATATGTTATCATGCGTATTGTTTCCAACTCTAACATTCAAAAGCAGTCTTCTCGCTTTATCATCGAGCATCTTTGAACAGTATCAACATCAGTTCGCAGACAAACAAGTGGGGTTTCGTTCTCATCGTTCTCCTTAACAATGCTATCTATTGCTGGGGCATCTGTGAGTGGGACAGGGTCTCAATATCTTCAGCTGGAAACCATCTTGCTTCATCATCCTTCCCAGACGCACAAGGTCTTCAGTAGAAATGTGAAGCAACTTGTGGATCCCCTCGAAATCCAAATCCACCTGCTTCAGAAACTGGTATGGCGCGCGCGCGGTTGGCTGACATCGGGATTCGATCATGTCCAAAAGCTTTGGACATATTAGCACAAGGACCGACAAGGGTCAGCGTGTGTAGTGCGGGTAAGATGTTGCCTTGGAATGGCATAGGCCGTAATGACATTGCATCGAGGAAAGGATCAAGCAGCTGGTTGGGAAAGACGCGTAGAATGAGGTTCACCAATAAAAGCGTCACTCTCAAACACTGCAAGAGTTGCGCAGGGTAGATGTGGATATGAAGCTCAAGCTTGACGATGAACCTACTGCGAGTCGTGAATCCAAAACATGTTGATGACACCAAGGCGCTCGGGATGTTAGAACCAGCTCGGTCAAGGCTGGAAGAGTGAGTTTTTCCAAGATCTGGTCGAGTTGGATGCTGTGGGGATGAGGAGAATCATTTCACGAGTGCTAGTCTCATAATGATACAGTATTTTGTCTTTGATATGCACAGCAGCCCGGGGTTCGATTCCCCAGTTTGGAATATGGAGTCTTATGTACGAGATTATTCTTTTAATTTATTTTGCTCGCTTTTCAATTTTTGATTCTAACCCTGCATCTATTCAGACCGCCCATGCTTTAGAAAAGCCCAGGACAGTAAAATGCCAACAACACAGATTTAGACAGTTTTACTTAGACCGTCAAGGCAGACGAGGGCA